AAAAAAAATTATTAAATAACTTTTTTGCTTAATATTTGTTAGATTTTAACTTTTTTTTTAAATATAATTTTTTATAAAAATGATACATACTATTTGTGTGCTTGGCAATTTTCACGCTCCGTATAATTTTCTTGAAAGCTTTTATACTACTATGAATAATACATTTTTTAAGATGTGACAAAATTGTTGCCTTTTAAAATATACTTTTTATATTGTAAAATAAGTATGAATCTTTTTTAAACTATATTAAATGCAAGATATAGTTTTAAAAAATTTATATATTTTTTTTAAATTAAAACTAGTTACATGACATTTGTATTGTCAAGCAGTCAAGTTTATTAATAAGTTTGCTATAATTTAATATCTTTATATAAATAATTAAGTACATACCGATTTGCTTTTTCAAAATATTTTCATCAAAAAACATTTTTTAAATTTAGTCAATTTTTTATATGTACTTAATTAACAGCTGAATACAAAATATAAGTTTGTCGCATTAAATGGCCTATTATTCCATTTTTATCTATGTGTGTATAAATCATTTTTTTTAATTTGCTAAAATTAGAAATAAATATAATCCCAAAATAATATTTATATCATTTTTAGCATAAATATGACACAAATCAATAAATTATTTAAAATCATTCAAATTTTTTAATCCGTTTTAATATTTTAAAAAAAAACAATTTTTATTCAACTTTTGCATATGTCAAAAAGTTAAAAAAGTGAATTAAAATTGAAAAAATTTGTTTCAATAAATAGGCTGCTAATCAAAGATTTAAAATCGAATGAAACAGAACAAAAATGGAAAAGAACTTAATTGAAAAAGTTCAAATGATTGTTATAGCAAAAAAAAATAAAAAAAATATATACAATGAAAAATATTCATTTTAATATTTACATTTATTTGGAAGTAAATAAACTTTATTACTTTCAAATATTTTCAAAAAATTATCTGTTGTAATTATTAACAATTTAAATAAATATATAATGTATTTGTGAGAAGCAAAAAATTACAGTTTTCAAAATTTTTCGTTTTTTGATAAAATTAAAAACTAAAATAAAAATGAAATGTAAATCAAAATTGATTAATGATATTTTTTGAATATTTATTCTTTTTAATTAAACTCTATTCAAGATGCAAAGTATAAAATAAGCATGCAAAATTAATTTTGAGATCACATTTGACTGAATTCTGTCAAAAGTTATTCAGACTTCCAATATTTAGCTTTTTTAATCAAAAAAAATTAACTGCATTGAAATTGCTGAAATTTTTTGGAAGTTTAATATTTAAATTTAAATAATTCATTATATAATTTTTATGTATTTTTCAGCATGTCTATTTTAGTAATTATTAATGTTTTTACGTAAAAATATGATATTAATTCAGAAAAATTGCAACAGATTTAATGAAATCGCTGCTAGTATGATTGATCTATTCCAATTTTTAATTAATCAAAAATATTAAATTTATAATAAACAATATTTAAATTTTCAAAATTTTTGTAAAAAAAATAAGATTGTTTTTTAATTAATTAGAATTATATTATGATTTTATATGCAAAATTTGATAAATTTCGAGTTTTTGAAATTCAAATTATATCTTTTACATTTGATTATAAATAATTTTTTATGTTTTGCTTTTCAAAGTTAATTTAAAATATTATGAAAAATCTCTTTTTTACTTCTAATCCCAATACTTTTGCAAAATTCTTTATCGCTTAAAAATAATTTATTACAGTAATAAAAAATATATAAAGAATTAATTTATGTATTAAATATGATAATTTTTATTTCATCGATTTGTATAGTAATGAAAATAAAAGACTATGATGGATTATACTAGAATATATGTTATTATATAAATCATCTCAAAATATTTTACAAGCCATAATAGAGAAAGTACTAAAAATAACAAGAATATAATAAATTGTATAGGATATATAATATTTTGCTATATAAATTGAAATTAAAAACAAGAAAATAATCAGAATTGACAAAAATAACTTAAAAAACAATGTATTTTCTTGCATAAAATGTTGTTAAAATAATAAAAAATATCAAATTATGCACACAAAATATATTTGGTTTTTTATGGATTGAATTAAGCAGTAATTCAAATCAAAAGTTCTCCTCTCAGTACTAAAAAAATGAAACGATATTGTAGCAAATTGTATAACACATATAATATTTTAAGAGAATCATAGCAAATTTTATTACTTATATGCAAAAATAGGCAAAAATCAATGTGAGATTGTTTGTGGCTTAGACTTATAAGACTTTTGGCTTTAAAAAGTAAAACAAAACTTTGGCAGAGTTATTGTTAGTCTTGAATGAAAACAAGCCTAGTAGAGTAATTAAAAGCACTAGGAGTTGATTAAATTGGTGTATTTTGTCTAGTGTGCTTTTATTGAAATTTTAAAATAAAATTAGCATACAGTAATTAAAAACAGTAAATACTAAAAATAAACTTTTCGAAAAATTGCCAAAATTTTATAATTAATCAAATAAT